CCGATCAGCTGGAATGTTGCGGCCTCTCCAGGCTCTTGTGATTTACATTCAGATGCTTGGCAACTGATTCGTATTTATGACGGTCACAGTGTCCCAGGGTCATGTGAAGTGACCAAAACCTGCTGCAACCACCCAGCAGACGGGGGGGGGGGGGAATAAAAACCAAACACCCCCCCCCACCCCACCCATGCTGCCAATCCTCAACAGAAATGCTCACAACAATGGAAACCTCGGACAGGAGGAAGAGCGCTGCCAGGCGGGCAGGCAGGTGTCTTGCTCGGCTGTGGCTTGGGGGGCACTTTTTTCAGTGCCATTGTAACTTCGAACAGTCACTAAGCGAACTGTTGTAAGTCGAGGACTACCTGTACTTCATCATTTTTTTCCTTTTTTTTGGGTCATCAAGTTTTTGACACCTTGCTAGGCGACTGGTGGTACACGGATATTGCCATATCCTAAAAGTGGTACAATGGGTGAAAAGGTTGAAAAGCCCTGGACTAGATGATTTCCGAGGTCTCTTTCAACTCTGCTTTTCTGCTATTCCTCCTCCTCCTCCAGCTCCTGGAAGGGATGGAAATGCTAACTCAGATGTTTGTTTCCTTTTTTGGCCAGCACAGGTCACTGCAGGGTGGACAACGGCCGTGTGGAAAAGGGTCCTAAGCCGTTTTTTTCAATGCCGTTGTAACTTACTAAGCGAACGGTTGCAAGTTGAAGACTGCCTGTGGTAAGAAGCTGGAAGCCCTCTACCAGCGGAGGGAATGGATCAATCAACCCACTAGTTTAAACATGCTTGGGAGATAAACACATAGGCATCATCTGACAAAGGTACAAATAAAACAAAGCAAAAATGAATAAAATATAAAAGTAGTAATTAGTAAAAAAAAATAATAAATCAAGGCCTTCGAAAGAAAGCAAAAAGCAAACAAACTCAAGGGGCACTTGGGTGTTTTTCTGCCGTCAGTTTTCTACGTTTCTGGGATCTTCAAGAGGTGGGAAAGTGCCCCAACTGGAAAAGGCCCCCAAACCTTTGTGCTTTATATGGTCCCACCCTCGTTTTGACCAGCTCGTCTGTCTAGAACAGGGCTTCTCAACCTTGACAGCTTGAAGACAGGTGGACTTCAACTCCCAGAATTCCCCAGCCAGCCATGGCTGGCTGGGGAATTCTGGGAGTTGAAGTCCACCTGTCTTCAAGCTGTCAAGGTTGAGAAGCCCTGGTTTAGAAGAAACCGCATTGCCAAGGGGAGATCTTCACCACTTCATCTGCTGCTTGAGTCTGATTTAAGGGGGGAGGCCAAGAATAATACAGCTCACGGACGGCGGTTGGAAAAAGCATATTTAGAAATATCTGAGGAATTCCTCTCCGGATATGGAATCATCTACAGTACAGGAAGAAACGGTGTGCTATCCTTGAGTTAGCTGATCTCTAGCTTCGGGGAGAAAAGGCTTCGGGCTCCAAATGGCTGCCCAGTGCCAGGAAGCAAATTAAAAAGACCCAAAAGGCCGGGCTAAAATGGTGGGTGGATGGGCAGCGAGATACGCAAGAAACCGCTTGACGGATCGTTTAAAATTTAATCAAGAGGAACAACCTCCATAGGCTGGAGAAAAGCCGACGTCGAAGAGAGGCATCTTAATTAGGAGATGGCGAAAAGAAAGGGAAGGAGTCAGATGTCTCGACAGAAGAGAAATTTTATTTTTTTAAAAAAAAAATCTATCTATCTTATCTATCTATCTATCTATCTATCTATCTATCTATCTATCTATCTATCTATCTATCTATCTATCTATCTATCTAATCTACCATCTCTCCCTCTCTATCCATCCATATATCCTTCTACCTATTCCTTTATATATTGCTCTCTTTCTCTCTCCATCCATGTATCCCTCTATTCATTCATCCATCCATCCATCCATCCCTTTCTCACTATCATCTCTCTTTCTCTCTCGCCATACACACATGTCTCTACCTATTCCTTTATCTATTCCTTCCTTCCTTCCTTCCTCTTCTTTCTTTCTTTCTCTCTCTCTCTCCATCTTTGTATCCCTCTATTCATCCATCCATCCATTCCTTTCTCACTATCATCTCTTTCTCTCTTGCCATACACACATGTCTCTACCTATTCCTTTATCTATTCCTTCCCTCCTTCCTTCCTTCCTTCCTCTTCTTTCTTTCTTTCTTTCTCTTTCTCTCTCTCTCCATCTTTGTATCCCTCTATTCATTCATCCATCCATCCATCCCTTTCTCACTATCATCTCTCTTTCTCTCTCGCCATACACACATGTCTCTACCTATTCCTTTATCTATTCCTTCCTTCCTTCTTCTTTCTTTCTTTCTCTCTCTCTCTCTCTCTCCATCTTTGTATCCCTCTATTCATTCATCCATCCAGCCATCCATTCCTTTCTCACTATCATCTCTTTCTCTCTCGCCAAACACACATGTCTCTACCTATTCCTTTATCTATTCCTTCCTTCCTTCCTTCCTTCCTTCCTCTTCTTTCTTTCTTTCTCTCTCTCTCTCCATCTTTGTATCCCTCTATTCATCCATCCATCCATTCCTTTCTCACTATCATCTCTTTCTCTCTTGCCATACACACGTCTCTACCTATTCCTTTATCTATTCCTTCCTTCCCTCCTTCCTTCCTTCCTCTTCTTTCTTTCTTTCTTTCTTTCTTTCTTTCTTTCTTTCTTTCTTTCTTTCTCTTTCTTTCTTTCTTTCTCTTTCTCTCTCTCTCCATCTTTGTATCCCTCTATTCATTCATCCATCCAGCCATCCATTCCTTTCTCTCTATCATCTCTTTCTCTCTCGCCATACATACATGTCTCTACCTATTCCTTTATCTATTTCTTCCTTCCTTCCTCTTCTTTCTTTCTTTCTTTCTTTCTTTCTTTCTTTCTTTCTTTCTTTCTTTCTTTCTTCTCTCTCTCTCTCTCTCTCCATCCTTGTATCCCTCTATCTATTCACCTATCTATCCTATCCTATCCTACTCTACCCCTTAAAACTTTTAAAAAAGAAACATAAAAGCTAACACAAACTACTATAAACTAAGAAAGAAAGAAAAAAGGAAGAAATCAGAGGAAAAAGCTAAACGTGCAAGAAAAGGGGAAAAAGTAGAAAAGAAAGAAAAAAG